CCCTTCAGGTCTAGAGCAAAATTTTTCACCCTCTGCTTGTCAGAACCTGGGCCTGTGCCTGCTCAGGTCTCAGTGAGCCCAGATACCTGTGCAACTCCTAATCGTACCCTCCTTACCCTGCCCTCCTCACTGAGAGGGAAGGCTATCTGTCCCCACTGTCCCCTCCCCACTGTCCCCTCCTCACTGTTCTCTCCCCACAGTCCCCTCTCCACTGTTCCCTCCCCATGGTCCCGTCCCCACTGTCCCCTCCTTGCCGTTCCCTCCTCACTGTCCCCTCCCTACCGTCCCCTCCTCACTGTCCCCTCCCCACTCTCCCCTCCCCACAGTCCCCACTCACATACCTGGTCTCCCACCCAGTCCCTCTGGCAGTCCTGCCTGACACTCACCTCTCCAGAGTCTCGGTGCCGATGGTGTCGGCCTGCGTGGAGATCTTGGCCCACATGGACACAATGAGGGTCCTCTCAGTCTTGGTCAGAGACATGGCGGCAGGGTGGGCGGCTGCACTGGAGTTGGGCCTGCTCAGGACTGGCCTTGGTAGTGCTCAGCCCCCAGGTCTCCTTATATCCAGGGAGCTGGGCCCAGCCAGCCTGTGGCCATTGGTCAGGTGAGGGGAGGGGGCTGCCGGGGTGGGGTTTCTTATCAGATCCAGTGACAAAGGGGCCCTCAAGGCCTGGTGCAACTGGGGTTTGGGGGCTATCACTCCTGTTCCTCTCCTGTGGGCTTAGAGGGGGTGTTGGCCAGAGTCTGACCACAGAGTCTAGGAGAGATAGGGGCCCCACCCTCCCAGGAAGTCACTTCTGCATTTGCAGTCCAGTTCTGCACCGTCCTTATTCATTTCAGAATCACGACTTGGGGGAAACCACAGGAGCAGGGCCCAGTAAGCAGCCTCCTGGGAACCTGCCCCACGGTCTGCTGACACCGACCTCAGTCAGCCCTGCGCAGCCACATGCCAGTCCCTTTCCCCTTTGTCTCTGGGATTCCTGGGTTTCCTCCGAGAAAGCAAGGGTTCCGTCCACCCAGCGCTGAGGGGAGATGTACTGGGTCTGTCCCCTGACAAGCAGGAGGAGGCAGCAGGTCCGGGGACAAAGGAGAATTCATCTGATCTCATGTGCTAATAGGGATTGCAATATTGCTTTCCATATTAGTTATTGTAACATAATGAGGCAAATATACCTTTTAATTTTTTTTTCTTTTTTTGAGATGGAATCTCAATTTGTCGCACAGGGTGGATCACAGTGGTTCGATCTCAGCTCACTGCAACTTCTGACTCGCTGGTTCAAGTGATTCTTCTGCCTCAGCCTCCCAAGTAGCTGTGATTATAGGCACCCAGCATCATGCTTGGCTAATTTTTGTATTTTTGTAGAGACAGGGTTTCACCATGTTGGCCTGGATGGTCTTGATCTCCTGACCTCCTGATTCATCTACCTCAGCCTCCCAAAGTGCTAGGATTACAGGTGTGAGCCACTGTGCCTGGCCAAGTTTTTTGTTTTTTTTTTTTTATTTTATTTTATTTTTTTAGTAGAGAAGGGGTTTCACCATCTTGGCCAGGCTGGTCTTGAACTCCTTACCTTGTGATCCACCCGCCTTGGCCTCCCAAAGTGCTGGGATTACAGGCATGAGCCACCACGCCCGGCCAATATCTTTTCAAGTATTTTGCCCATTTTTAAATTGAATGCTTTATTCTCGCACGGATGAATTTTTAGAATTCTGTGTGTCTTCTGGATGCAGTCCCTTGTCAGATATGCAATTTGCAAATGTTTTCTCCTAGTTTGTAGCTTGTTAGTTCATTCTCTTAACACTGTCTTTTTAGAGCAAAAGTTTTAATAAAGTCCAATTTATCAAAAAATTTTAAATGAAATTTTTTTTTTTTTTT